TGTTAAATTGCTTCACATTTCGGGGCATGACATGTAGGCCAGCCTTGAAGCACTGGCTGGAAGGGCACCCTAAAGGACACTGTAACACTTTGCTTAAGAGGCCTAAAAGAGTGCATCATAGACTTTTTACAGACATTGGGACACTGAACCAGTCAACATGGACTAACAAGGAAGAATATAAAATAGTCCCTATTTATGGAAGCCCATTTCTGCCACTGTGATGGGAAAAAAAAGATCATGTAAGTCATTATAATGAGTTAGTATCTCAAAATAATGAATTAGAATCTCAATATAAATGAGATAGAAAAATCATACTTTAATCTTTTATATTTACAACTTTAATCTTGTAAATGTATGTCTTTAATCACAAAATTTTAGATTTTTTTCCCCCTTGAACATGGCTCAATGCTCTAATGTTACCTGTTCAGCTGCTCATCTGTCAAATTCCAACAGTCTCTGTCCAAATGGATATTTTCATTCTTCTTTCCTCTAGAGTGGCTATGTTCAGGCTTTGTGTCTGAGGGTTAACAATATTGAGTATCGCCTCCAAGAATCGCCACCTTAACGTGGTGGGGGAGTTTGCGTGTCCCGGTGAACCCGAGAGCTGTGTTGTCGGGGGCACTAGTAGCCCCTGGTAGGGTCTCCCAAGGCAAAGTGGTCCCAGGGGAGGGGCCTGACTAAGAGTGGTTCAACAAATACCCCTCTGAAGCGGCACACATTGGAGCAAGTACACGGCCTTCTTGGAGTCTCTGGGTGGGGTCCTGGAAGGGGTTTCGCCCAGGGACTCTGTAGTTCTACTGGGGGACTTCAACGCTCACGTGGGCGACGACGGGGACACCTGGAGGGGAGTGATTGGGAGGAACGGCCGGCCCGATCTGAACCCGAGTGGTGTTTTGTTGTTGGACTTCTGTGCTAGTCATGGATTGGCCATAACAAACACCATGTTCAGGCATAGGGATGTTCATAAGTGTACCTGGTACCAGAGCACCCGAGGCCAAAGATCGATGATCGACTTTGTAGTTGTTTCGTCAGATCTGCGGCCGTATGTTTTGGACACTCGGGTGAAGAGAGGGGCAGAGCTGTCAACTGATCACCACCTGGTGGTCAGGCTGAAGAAGGAGGCCTTTCTGGCTTGGTTAGCCCAGGGGTCTCTGGAAGCAGCTGACAGGTATCGGGTGGCTCGGAGGGCTGTGGCTTCAGTGGTTGCAGAAGCAAAAACCCGGGTGTGGGAGGAGTTCGGGGAGGCTTTGGAGAAGGACTTTTGGTTGGCCTCAAGGAGGTTCTGGCAAACCGTCCGACGGCTCAGGAAGGGAAAGCAGGGCTTGCCCCAGGCTGTCATCAGCAGGGGTGGAGAACTGCTGACCCGGACTGGGGACATTGTTGGGCGGTGGAAGGAATACTTGAGGAACTCCTAAACCCAGACAACACATCCTCTGAAGAGGAGGCAGAGTCTGAAGATCCAGGCGAAGCCTTACCACTAAGCTTGGCAGAGGTCACTGAGGCAGTTAGAAAGCTCCTGAGTGGCAAGGTGCCAGGTGTGGATGAGATTCGCCCTGAGATGCTAAAGGCTCTGGACATTGTTGGGCTGTCTTGGCTGACATGCCTTTTCAATGTCACGTGGAAATCTGGGACAGTGCCTGTGGAGTGGCAGACCAGTGTGGTGGTTCCCATTTTCAAAAAGGGGGACCGGAGGGTGTGCTCCAATTATCGGGGTATCACACTTCTCAGGCTTCCGGGGACAGCTTACTCTAGGGTGCTGGAAAGGAGGCTCTGGCCGATTGCTGAACCTCGGATACAGGAGGGTAACAATATTGGAATTGCTCTCATTTTAAACATGTCCAAATGTTAATGGAACTTAATGTGCAGATGCAATAATGTTATCTTTGCTGTCTTTGATCAGCTGCTTCACAAAAACAAAAAATCAATGTGTAAAGAAGTCTCAGTGGACTCACATGCAGGCAGAATCCAAAGAAAATACTGGAGCACATAAAAAAGAAAAAACTCCAGGACAGAGGATCACCAAAGAGATCAAAGGTTTTGCTCACAGGAGCTTTATGCACTCAGAAACATCAAGTACTTGCTGAAGACACAGGTTTAAGCAAAAATTGTGTGAAGGAATTTAAGACCCCTGGTGGTCATTTCTGAACATGACTCTGAGTCACTGCTACTGTCCTGAAAGTCAAATCTCTAGAGGCATGTCCATTAAATCAGGTACATAATGGAAAGATGCTAAAGGACTAAGTGTAGAAATAGTGTCTACATAACTTTAATTAATTAAGGTCTGGGTTGGGTTTATTATGTGAACTATTTGTTGTTTTATATAGGCCTAGTTGAACAGTTTCTGTAGGCTATTTCCACTTGTAGGAATCACTTTAAAAACAGATAAAGGTGAATCATAAATGTGAGCTGCCACTGAGCTGTCTAATGCTGAAATCTGAGTCTCCGCCTGCAATCATGAGAACGGTTCAGTGCAGCTGTTGCAGTTGCAGTTTCCTCCAGGTGGAGGCGGTGTGAGACAGCGCAGCAGCAGTAATACTCTGTGAAAAGAAGATAAAGAAACAGCGATGAAGCTCTTGTTCGGTGTATGTATCAAATGCAGAAAGTGTGTGTGTTGAAACATGTTTTGGTGTGGTGTGTAAAAAAGACTGGGTCTCGCTGTATTACTCAGGCTGCACTACAGCGTCTATTCACAGGCGCGAACCCACTACTGAGCGGCACGGGGGCTTTAACCTGCTCCGTTTCCGGCCTGGGCCGATGCACCCCTCCTTAGACGACCTGGTGGTCCCGGGCTCCCCCAGGAGCACCATATCGATACCGAACTTAGTGCGGACACCCGATCGGCATAGTCCGCTGCAGCTCAGAACTCCTGAGCTCAAACGATCCGCCAGCCTCAGCCTCCCAGTGACTTGGATTACAGGTGCGCGCCACCGCACCCGGCAAGAGACAGGAATATTCACAGGGCTTTTATCTTAGACCACAGTGACGTCATGACGCAGCACGTACGCTACGGCTGCTTTTAGTGGTAAGGATATTAGGACGAAAGATGTGTGCAGTTCAATGTTGTGTTCTTTACTACAACTTTGTATTGGAGTCACCTTTTGATATCCACTGAGAGACACTTTGATTTCATCCTTATTGCCGTTTTATTGAAATATGTGTTTGTGCAGTTTGACATTTGACACAGGAAATGGTGGTGCATATACTGATTGACAACTTCCCTGTGCCATAAGTGTGTATATATAGTTCTGTTGGTTAACAATATCACCATCAAAGAAAGAGAGGACTTTCCCAGGTCAAGTTATCATGGATAGTGTTACCCTAACCCCCCATTTATATTTATTTATAGGTATATTTGTACTTTTTGCGCTCATCCAGCAGATGGTGCTCTTTGTGTCACAACATCCACTTCAATGTTCAGAAAACCAAATGTATGTTGTTTTCTAGGGCTAAATGTGAAACTGATAATAACCTTCACATTACCACCCTGCTAGGATCCATTATCGAGAGAGTACTAGTATAAGACTATAAATATCTGGGTATATGGATAGATGACAGACTAACATTCAAACTTCACATTGATAATCTTACTGTCAAACTACGACAAAAGATTGGTTACCTATATAGAAATAAATCAAATGTCCCTATGTTCTGTTGGAAAAGGATAATTGAAGCAGTTTTTCTTTATGGATTATGGTGATATGGTCTATAGGCATTCCTCTTCATTACCGGTGACAGCTACATGACTCACCACTGCATTCTTCATAATAAAGTTGGTTGGCCCTCCCTCACTGAGATACGCAATAAGCACTGGCATCTTTTTATCTATAAAGCCCTCACTGGAAAGCTTCCATCATATATCACCTCCTTGTTACATCTGAACCCTGGTCCATTATTAACCCGCTCGAGAGAGAGAGAGGCTGGTTCTCCAGGTTCCTCATGCCAGGACTGACCTGGGGAAAACTGCTTTTAGTGTTAGTGCTGCAAACTCCTGGAACGTTTTAGAACAGGACCTGAATTTGAGCACTTTTATCACTTATGGACACTTTAGAAATAATATTTTTAACCGCCCAATACCTGACTGTAACTGTTTTATTTGATTTTAATTACTGACTTATCATTGTAGTAATTTCAAGCTTTTAAATTATTTTAGTGTATATATTTTATTGTTCTTTTATTGATTTTATTTTCTGTAGTAGCTTTATCTCCTTTCTCGTTGTTTATCATTTATGCATGTTTTCTCGGCATCATTGTAATTGAGGGTCGCCCTCAATGATCTCTCCGAGAACTTAAATAAAGGTTGATGATGACTTTTCAGGCAGAAAATTAACATCCAACAATATAAAATCAAGGTTTAAAAAGTCGAGCGGCCCACTATAACATTAAAATAGAGTAGAACAATGTTTACCTCTAGTATTTTTTAAAATATTTATTTCCATAATGGAGATAGGAAAGGAAGCACCGTAGCACCTTCCCTTGGCATTAAGGGAATCGGACTAGCTATTACCGCTGCATCATAAACTATTCCCAGTCTTCCACTCAGTGTGGGATGTATTTAAGCAGCAGAAAGGATTGACTCCAGCCTGGGACTTGCTAACCATGCAAGGGTAATCATTTAATGTAAAGACCTTAAGTCAAAGTACATTAAAACATTTTTATATCTGCGCGTCTCAGTATCTTATCAACTTAATTTTCCAATTAAAGTGAAGTAAAGATTTGACTTTATGAACGTGTCATATTTATAAAGTAAAATGTTTTTGTTTAGTTGAATATAATTTCTTATTTACCATAAGCTGCTGGATGTGATGAACACATCTTAGTTGACTGGGTTATTCTTTTGTTAATACAATGTAATAATTCAATTTCTTTTTTTATTAATTGTATCATGAAGACAAATTGATCAAAATATGAGCTCAATTATTAAATGAGATGAATGTCAAGTTCTTTGAGAAGCTTTTTTTTTAAATATTCTGACAGCGTCAACAAAAACACAACAGTTCAACTTAAAAACCACTTCTTTAAAAATGATTTCAAACAAAACATTAAAACAGAATGAAATAAGGAAATCTGAGAATGACCATTTATAGACAGCTATTCAGAACATCTTCCATAGATTCACATTGTCGAGCCTCGTCAGACGTCAGTCAGGGCTTTGTTAGCTGTAAGAGAAAAAAGATGAACAGAGTTTGGAAGGAGCCACAACAAGTAAAACAGCATTTTGTAATAAGCTACATCTCAACCGTATTGTGTATTTACAATTAAATAAAGTTAGCTCACCACATACTCAAGCCGGAAAAATATGATTCAAATTGAGATGACTTAAATCATAGTTTAAACCTTGTATTTAACTGAAAAACCCTCCTGGATCTGTTGATCTTACATTTAGAGGTGTGGCAGAGAATGACTAAGCAGATATACTTTTATTAACAGTCTTTGAAAATCAACCCTAAAAGAAGTTTTTTAAAGCCACAGTAAGTTTCTCTTTAAACCCCTTCTCTTTACCTGCTTTGTGCTTTCGTCCACTTCAGAGCGTGTCTCGGTGGCACAGATATGTTCGGGTGGTAGAAGGTACAGCCGGCTCTTTTACACTGTGCCGCAAAGCGACAAGCCTGTAGGTGACAGATACAAAATGTAGAATGTCAGACAGCACTTCGTCTCAACTGGAGGCCTGTGTGCAAGTATAAGAGCAACCTTCAAATCAAGCACTTCCCTTATAACCTTTATAATAATGACGGAGAAAATGTCAAACCTCCATTCAGTTTTAGTGGTTTACCTTGGGATGATAAAATGGACAGTCCATCTTCTTGCAGTCTGGGAAGAAGCGACAGACGGCTGTAGTCTGCACCGGCTGCACTGCTGTGAACACAAACAGTCAAGTTAGAAGTGCAGAATGGAAGATCTTAACATCCCATAGACTACAGATTACTGCTTCAGAGGAGATTTATGGATGTGCTACATTCATGGCAGCTACATGAACTTCTACTCAGCCTTGTTCATATCAGTGTTGCTTGTTGAGGTGGTTGACATGACAGTGTATACAATGAAGAAATATAGTTTTTAATTATGGGAGCTATTTGGAGCATGACTTTCAAATCTTGTGACCTCACATGTAAATATTGTACAGTAAGGCCCCGTGTCCAACTGGCGTTTTTTTCCGGGCAGAAAAGCGCTGGTTGTGCGCTTGGGAGTGCTTGAATGAAGCGTTTGTGGGCTGAGAAGCAAAGCGCTGCAAGTGTCCGTAATGTCTCAACAGACTGTTGACAACGGCAACTGTATGACTGACACTGCTCCGTTAATTTTTACTACATGTTTTATATTTGAGACCGTTTTTAATCTGATCAGACATGGAGCAAAGAGAATGTGGGTACAAGACACGATCCGTAGGTGTCGAAAATATAGGGAAAAGCGGCCGCAGAAAGAAAAAAAAAGGCAGAGCGCTCCGAAGAAAAGACGCTGGGCACCACGCTTTTTCTCTAGGTGGCTGCTTTCTTCCGAGAACGCTCTCTCCTCATGAAAAACAATTGAAAACGGGGCCTAACAAGGAGAACAAATTCTACCCTTAAGGCCTTTGCACACTGCGTATGTTTTTCTCATCTGAAATTGATGCACGTTATGTGTCCCCATACTGCCAGCTGCTGTTCAGGATTAATTGCTTCGTGGAAATTGGTGGTCTTTTTAGTGTGTGGTTCCAGTATAGAGCAGAGCAGCGTATCAAACTGGACCACTGATTTTCATGTGGACGGACGCCATTGTTGTTGTTTTTTTTTCCAAGGAGTGAAAGAACCACTAAATCAACTTCACTGCTTGATCAGCCTACGTGATGAGGACGAGACATTTTGTGTCATACTGCAAATTTCCGCAATTTAATAGGAAAAAAAACCCTCATCTGACTCAGTGTGCCAGGTGTCTGTGATTAATGTGTTTTTCTCCGGATAACGGATCCAAAAAAAGGCATCCAAAAAAAAAAAAACAGACTTAGTGTGCAAGGGCCTTTAACCTCAAAACATGTGAGGGTTTAATCAGACTGTTTTATATCTTTTGGTTATAACTCCAGATCATCTGAACGAAGGCAGATCCAATGAAAGAAGGAGAAAATGAAATGTCATGACACATGATATGGTTATTCTTAACCATTTCTGAACTGAACTTATAAAATAATTACTGTGAAGTCTTATGAAGTGTGACTGTTTTATGAAACTACACATTCTGTTATAGAAGACTTTGGTAATACTGCTCACCTCATGCTGCCTGAAAAGTCGATTATAAATGTCAATGCATACAAGAGATGTCTCTCACATCAGCACGAATTGTTAAAAAAAAAAAAGTGCCCATATGGCATAATAAAACAGTTTTTTGCTAAATCGTACAGCTTGAGGGTTAATGAGGTACCTGGCCTTGAAGGAGGACCGACTGTGCTCCTGCGGCTGGCGTGTGTGAATGGGCAGTCCGGCTTGGTACACCTGGCGTCATATTTACAATTAGGGTGGACAAAAAGGCATTTATCCCCAAACTTGCAGCTGGGGAATGTCCTGCAGAAAACAAAACACACAAAAAAAAGTCATGAATCACGGTTTACTCAAGGCTGAGCGATAAAAACACTATTACTGAACAACACAAACAGACTCACTTGCACTGCGCTGTAGGGTGATGGTACATACACTCATCTCCACTCTTACAGACCGGCCAGAACTTGCAGCGCTCCAGCACCTTCTGTTTCTTCAAAGGGACTGTATCATCATCCGCCATGTCAATATCCATCACGTCATCTGTCAAGACACCAGATTGTAAATGGGATGTAAGAGACACAACGCCCTCAACTTGGTAACCACACAAACGTTTGCTAATGCATTTCGTAACAGCTTATCAACTTTGATCAAAAAAAAAATAGAGTAGAGCATCACCGTCTGCTGGTGTGATTCTTCCCTGTAATCTTTGAAGCACGCTGACTTTCGGCTGCCTGTTCACATTGACAGCCCCCTCCATGACCCTTGTGGGTGGTCTTACTTCATCCAGGTCCATCTCACTGTCTGCAAAATTCCCCATCGGGCTCGGTACCCCGTCTAATGTGACGATGAACTTTGGGCTGGCTGACCCTCCGATGTCCTTACTGGACGAGAGAGAAGATGCAGAGCATGAAAGTCAATTTAAAGCACATGACGGATCAGAAATGACACACACAGGCACACAGCTGACAGTTAGAAAGTCTTCTAATGTGTGTGTATACCTGGGCTGGATGCTGCGTGGTAATGCAGACTGGACATCCTCTCTGACCAGAAGGCGCTGCTGGCTCCTGGCTGCTGCAGGTTCTTGCAGTCGGGGTTGACTCATAATGAAGGAGCGGGTATCAAAGGGTTTAGCCTCACCGCTTGCAGTGACCTCAACACCTGCATTACAAACACACACTCAGCTAAGTCTAATGCATCCCTGAGGCACTGAAAGGGAGTTAACTAAATACACCTTGACTAAAGTGTTACAAGCTGATGAAAGATTTGTTTTTAGAATGCTCGATGATAAAAAATAAATAGAGTAAAAAAGACTGACCACATTCACTCTGCTCTGCTCTGTCATTGTTCTCTGCTATGTCCAACTGGAGGCGTGATGCTAGAGATCTCGCTGGAGCTGGGAGAAAAATATATATTATTAATCATCAAAAAACATCAACAAAACAATTCACAAACTAGGACTAGACTTTTTCCATGTAGTAGTTACTTGCTTATCATAAAGCTCTGAAAAAAAAAAAAAAACAGAACATCTATCATATTGAATTTTGGATGATATTTAGCCTGATAAGAAATTAGCTAAAGCTTCTTCCTTGATTCATTTGCATACCTGCACAAAAATCTAGACATAAATTAGTTATTCATGCATGTTCAAAAGTAATGTTAGATTAATTTTTACATGTTCAGTGAAAAATGGTCACTATGTTGACTGTTTTAAGTCCCTTCAGCAAACATAATCAGTCAGTGTTTTCCACAGTTATGCCCTGGCGGTGGAGAATTACGCCTTGATAAATACATTATCATATTTATATAACTTTTGGTTAGTAAAATAACCGTGCTTTAATTTCTTATATAGATATTATACTCCTCACGTACCAGGTGGTCTGGATGGAGGAAGCTCTGTGGAGGTGTAGGCTGAAACCCTGGGGGCCAGGCTGTGGAGGTGCTCCTGGACCAGCTGGATGGCTGCAGTCATCTCTTCAGTGCTGGCCAAGCGAGTACGAGGGGCCACGGGGACAGTCTGCCTCTGGGGTACTGCTTTAGGGGACAAGGATGTTATCTTACTCAGTCGTCAGCGTTTGATACAATTTAAAATATTACACAGGTTGCATAACTCAATAAAATCTCACCACACTGTGATGAATGCAACTTCACAGAAACAACCTTAATATGTCCTGTGTTGTAATGTGAGTTTGTTTCCTTTCATCTTGGTCATTTTTGTGGGTATAATATTTGAAATGTGTCTACCATCTAGGGGAATTCTTCTCTGAGGACTGTATCGATCTAACAGAATGTGTAAGACCCTCATAGCAGCACATCTATATTTGGACAGGGGCCAAGCATAAGTTGTGAGCTTGAAAGGAATGTATATGTCTGACATTTACAAGTAAAGGTAAGGTCTTCTTTCTAGCCTTTTAGAAGTATACCCAAAATAGAAAGGAATTTGTAGGCTGAACCTGCGAACGGAATATAAGCAAGACTGATCACATGAGCGGTCTGTCAGCCATTCCTGCTCTGCTGCTGTTCTGTCGGGCGGATAAATCCTAAAATAATACACGGTCTGTGTCATGATTTCATCATTGAACTATTACAAAAGAAACACTCCCACCTCACACCCAATGTGCAGGATGTCTGATTTGGAATGTTTCATTTTATTTAAAATATTCTGGGGTTTGAGATGAAACCAGATCCAGTTTGAATCATCCTCTGCGTATCAGAAGTGCTGAAAAGTTGCTCAGCAATGCCTTCTATCTTATAGGTAATTTTCCTATTTAAGAAGACGAAAGAAGTGCCTACGATTCAACTGTGGTTAATTGAGTTGACAGAAACACTTCATTTAGAGAGAATTTGATTTATTCTTAAGAACAAAGTTGAGAAATTTGAAAAGATTTCACAACTGTTGAAGTTAAAATAATCAGTTAAACTTCGCACAAGGCTGCACGCCTTGGGAGGGGTTGGGGGTGGGGATTAGTTTGCTCTTGTTCTGTTGTTCACTTTGAAGACACATTTCTTCTGTTGACATAGAATATAAGTAATCCACTCCACGAATACTGCAGGCTGTGATGGATAAGTAGTTGTGTGTTGAATAAAAAATGTCAAATGTTTGTGTGGATGCAATTTATAGACCCTGTTTTGCCTACATATTCAAATTTAAAAAACTGACAATTGAATGATAAATGAGATAAACATACTGGTGGGGAAGGCTGTAGTTTTGGTGATGGAGTCCTGAGCCTCAGAGATGGCCTTCAGTATCAGATTCCTGTTGGCTTGCTTTGCCGGAGGGAGAGTAGGTCTGAAACAACAAACAGGACAGAAATATTAGAGACCCTAGTTTGCCTTTTACTTTTTATACCCTGCAATGTTTTTTTAATGTTGAATTAAGTGTGAGCACTGACTTGCGTTCTGGTTTGGAGGGTAGGGACACTCTGCTCGATATGCCTCTTCCTCCATAGCTGGCGTCGTCCTCTTCCACATCATCGCTGTCCTCGTCTTCAGCTCGGCTCACTCGCACCACTGAACTCGCCACCGGCGCCTTACGCTTCCGCGAAAACTCCTCCTGAAAACAGAGAACACAAATCATTATAATGACCTGAAACTTCAAAGACCTTGTATACAGAAGGTGAGTACCATAAACAACCATGAATCAAGAGGTATATGGAGTAAAGCACATCCTTGCATTAAAAGAGGACCAACAATGCTCTACCTTACTGGATCCGGCTCTTGACATTCTACTTCCTCTGGTGTCCTGCTGCCTGGAGTGAGAGGATCCTTCTGTGTGTCGATACGTGTCTGCAGAGCTAACTGATGAAAACTTGCTCTGACCAGGTCTGTATATTTCAGCTGTGGGTCTACTAGCTCCAATACGGGTTCTACCATGGCTGGCAGGTGTCTCTACCGGGTCTTCAGCGATAAAGTCATCATCCATCTCTGGTTTGATGTCAATCACAGCCTCAGAGGGGAGCAGCTCCATGAGGGGCTTAACGGTGGAGGTCAGACGAGAGGAACCCTTCTCCAACGTGCCCCTCCTGATAAAAAAAAAAAAAGAAATCGAAAAGAAATGTAAACATTTAATGTCAGTATTTGTCGCCTGTACAAAAATAATAATAATCTCGCTTTGCATTAGGCACCTGCTTTCATGGGCAGAGCTGGACACGCGTGCATCCGTCCTATCAGAGCGCGAGCTGGACACTGTGAGCACCTTCAACTCCTCTGCTCTGCTGTCTTCACTTACAGATGATCTACTCCTCCCGGACACAGCACCTATGTCAGACTGGAGGGGATTCCTGAGCGATGCAGGTTCTGCAACAACCAAGAGAGACCATTAAGGGGAAGATAAAAAAAAAAAAATCAACTTGTGTAGGACACCAAAAACAAAACGGAGGTACCATGCATCTGTTAAGTACAAAACAGCTACTTGTTACGAAAGATAAAAAAAAGATGGGGCGCATATGGCCTAGTGAAGAGGTTGCGTCCAATGTATAGAGGCTATAGTCATCCAAGCAGGTGGCCCAGCTTCCGCACGTCATTCTCCACTCTCTCTCTCCACATGTTCTTACTCTATCAAATAAAGGCTTCAGGGGGGTAAAAGGCAAAAAAGGCAGAAATGTGCTCAAGAGTGACTTACCAACGGCAACAGTTCTTAACTTCTCAAGGACACCCTGTAGCCTGAAATCAATCAACAATAACATGTTATGACTAGACTGGACAGTAGTGTTGAGGATAGCTGTGAAAATGTGAAAAGAATTACGCCAAACACAAGAGATTATATTAGACAAAGAAAAAAGTATATATATTTTTTTTTTGGTTTTGTCAAAGTAGTACCAGGCTGTGAATTTGATCGTGTTGTTTCCAAGGAAAAGGGAAAGATCATCTGCCATCTGTTGAGAGGTTTTCTTGTTCGCCACCATCACCATGATGTAGTCAGGCAGCTCTTCGTCTGAAGTCGATGAAGACAGGAAACACAAACAACATTAGACACTAACATACTCAAAGAGATGTGACAACAACAACCTTTTCTGGTCCACTTACCAATATATGCGCCGAGTTCTTGAAGCTTGCCCTTGATAGCAGCCTACAACGGAACACAAATAGTATGAAAAGTTAACATTATTATGAGTAACAAAATGAAGACAGCTGGCTCGACACCTCTTTGATTCATTTATCAAACAACAGACAAAGCACTGGCTTACACTAACTAATATCGTTAGAGTAAGTGAAATATGTGTTAACATGTCTATAAACTATTTTTTCTGGATACATAAAGGTGAAGCGTGAAACCCTCACACCGGCCTCGTAAACAGAAACTCTGTCACCATACTGTAAAAACACGTTCGCCTGCTAATGCTAGCTCATACAGTCTCTTTTCTAAAGCGACACTTAAATACGCTTCAGTTCTCTCTCCATAACTCACTCACACGCTGCCCGTCATTTCACTCACTCTTATTTTCTTGCTGATCTCTGTTCCGATCTCCATTCTTGTGTTTTTGTTCAAGTAAAAAAGTTACAAAAGCTGCAACTGATTTTCCAGCACGGCTAACCAGCAGAGACAAATGGGATGATCACGTGACCAACGAAGGTGGCCGAGAAGGGTCAAATCTATCTTTAAGCGATCTCGTTTTTTTCATGGCTATTGTGACAATTAAAATAACGATTAAAACAACAAAGTAATATATAAAATATTATATATAGTATTATATAATACTTAAAATACTATTCCGCTTCCCGCAAACTGTAGGCTAAAATCAAGCATTGTAAAAAACACAAAGAAACATGAAACAACAAAATAGCCTACTTTTAGACAAAAACAATCAACAAACCATCCATAATAATAAATGTAAATCTCCTCCAGTTTCCATAGTTTTTCAGGATATTTCTCTGCATCCTCATTTTTAACTTCAGCCAAAGAAAGAGCTAAAGCTCAGAAGCGCAAAAAAAAGTAATTTTTCCTCTCCACATTTATAAATTGACCTTTTAAATATTCTGAAGACCACCATTTGTAATCAAACAGCGATCTAAGGAGGTCAGGGATATCACAGGAGTCAGAAGATGTAGGCTATTTATAAAACATTTCTGAGGTTGTAACATTGCTGTAAATCATGCAAAGCCAATACACCAAAATCTACATCTGTAGTTCAGCTCTGAAGTAACACAAGTGACTTATCCACCAGTTTTCAGATTTTGTCCATGAATGTTAGGGTTCATTTGTTATTAATTATATTTATTGATATAGTATTAGAGGAGGGAACCAACAGCGTTGCCTCACATCTTTTCTTTTCGTTTTTGGCTGACATACCTTTAAACAGACAAAATATCTTTGCAACTTATCCCTTAAACATCCATATAAGCACATGAGGACTCTATCTTTTTCATTAAAAATAGGAATTTTCTGGTACTTTTAAAAAAAAAATCATTATAAAAAGTATGCATTTGATAAATGGCTCAAATCCTTGTTAAAAAAAACAAAAAAAATCATAATTGTAGCATTCTTCCGTTCTTGGCCTTTCAATCAGCAGTTTGGAAAATACTCTCCAGCACATGGTCAATGTATTAGCTGTTGTTTTAGTATGCTTGAGTCTATGAATCTTTTTCTACTGTTATTTTTTTATTTAATACTGCCTATTGGAGGGGGGAATGTCAACAGATGTTCTTACAGCAGATGTTTGAGTAAGTGTTTCTAAGTATGACCAATTGATTCTACGTACTGCCTTAATCAAAACTAAAATCCATCCTTCGTCCACTAGATGGCACAAGACACCATTAAAAGAAAAAAACCTGAGCTTCTCCTTACTGAGGACATGCCACCTTAAATCTTGAATGATGTAAAGACAATTACAAGTTAGTAGTTTAATCATAGTTTTAAATAAATTGGTGAATGAAATATGTTGGTATTTTCCATTATATCGATTCTATTAGTATTTGATGTTATTCTTAAACATACGTAATCAAACTGTTATAAATCCTCATCTGGAGGTGAATTCAGTGGATCACATGATTCTTAAAAACAATCAGGAGCTTCAGGTTGAAACATTACATCCCAGGTTATACCAAAGAAAAGAAAACGCCTTCTGATTTGTTTTAACACTTACACTCATGTTACAATTTAAATCTGATTTCATATGAACTGATTTTCAACTGCAGCACTCTAGTGTCTTTGACTTTCTAGTGTTCAAAGCTGTATGTTTTCCCTCAAAGATTATTTCCTGTTTTGCAGCCCCTCAATGCCAAACAACAATGACGGGAAGGATCTTGCTCGCCGTCTAGACAAGCGGCACACACACACTCAGCCATAGCTGTCTGCTCCGTCTCTGTCTGCTTTGTTCATACTGTCTATCTTAATTGATAGTGATGGACGAATTGCTTAATGTATCGTAACCATAGACTGTAAATATTGTTACTGATTGTAACATCATGGTTTCATTTTTTTTTAAATGATATGAAATTTATGTGACATTTGATATCAGGACCTCTGCTGACCTTTCTGTACATTCCTTCTGGCTTATCAAAAGCACAGTTACTTCTGTTGGTATATCTTCACTTTCATATCATGGTTTAATTTGAATATGTGTGTTTATGGACTGTTGTGTTTCAACTAAGTTTTGAAATTTTTGCAAATAGATGTGCCTAAACATGCACAGGACACTTGGAAAACACACTAAAGAGCATATAAAACCAGAAAAAGCATAATATGGGCCCTTGAAAGCAACACTATGAATTTGGTGTGGTGTGCTATGGCGCCCACCGAAGGTCTCTGAGTGCAAATGCTCTAATGTAAGACACAGTGCTACCACTTTTAGACAACGTGCATTTGTTGACACACAGATGGTGTGAAGCCGGCAGAAACATTGTGAGAAGCATTATAACCATGTCAACTGACAAGGTACAGTTATAATACTGGATTCTGTGCAAATATGACTCTGCAAGCGTCTTCAGCCCGCAGTTTGCAAACTGTTTACATGCGTAGTATGTTTATGTGTATTCAACTGTGTATTCAACGGTTTGTAAAGTTCCAAATTCATAAAGCCAACATGAAGATCCACAAGGAAAGAGACAACTTTTAGGCGTAAGATGGATTTATTTCTTTATTTGTATGCAAGCCTGAGACATAACTTGGTGAAGCCGCTAAACATGAGACAACGATGACATCGTTACAATACAGCCTAACGTTAAGTCACAATCTGTTATGAATAACATCTGCAGGGATGTACACTCTGCTGCTTGCTCGGTCACTCTCTCTTCTACTCTTCTTAGCTTCAACCATCACCATCCTCTTCCTCTTAGCCTCAGCCTTTGTATCAAACGGTACAGAGACGAGGTAAGCTGTACGCATTTCTCACTTGATGACCTCGGACCACTGCCAAAGTTACCTAGTGCAGTAAAAAGGCGATTGGGCCCTTCAACTGTGTATTTGTTTTGAACTTATGGCAGGTATTTATGGAAAGTTTTTTTTTTTTTTTTAAAGTATGTTCCCGGTGACAGGAACCACATTTGCATGGATAAAAATGCAACATAAGATAAGGGTAAAGTGTTAAAAACACTTTCATGTTAAAGTCAGCTTTAAGTGGCCTTGAATGATGGCCATGCACATGCAACCATGTGTACTGTATGTATCTGACCACAAATCTGCTCTCCTGTGGCTGTCGTTGGTCTCTCTAACACCTACACAGAGAACTGCGGTGAGTCCACTTCCCTTTTCTGTGAAATGTTGTCACAAACTCAGAGTGCTCAGTTGTGAATCAGCTGATAAACTTCCGTGAATTCTTCAACCGCATGTGCTGCGATGACGTTAATTCGGCCACCATGTCCCGCGACACGAGACAGTCTTCTTCTTCTGGAACCAGTCTACCATAGCACACCACATTCACTTTCTTTAAGTGAACGTCTCATGTTGCAGTTTGGATAAGTCAGGATCCTGCCTCGAGGCTGGAAAGAGGCGAGAGAAAGAACAGAATTGTAGAAGATTACTGGAAAAAAAACTTGGACAAAGAAGTGCACTAAAAGATAATGAATTGCACCTGCTCTGACAATGTCCAGAAACCCAATACAGGCTTTCCTTGACAAGATGACACCTGTACGAATGAAGCTGCTGCAGCTGGGTGTCGGCACATAAACACATTTTCATATTGGGCACACACAAACGCACACAGAGGAAAGACTTGCGGGCAAACAGAGTCAAATAGTCAAACAGCTGCTCAGAATTAGTGCAGAAACACTTTGATACTGAGCAGGGGGATGGGGGAGGAATTATTGGTTTGCTGCAAAAAATGAACAACAGCATGCAATCAGTAACAAGTGCAATCAAGGCTAGTTTGCAACGAGTGTGCAACGACTCATTCTTTCCCTTGAACTATGTTATTGTGTGCAGTAAGGAAATCCCAAAAGGTTGACTGAGGACAAGTTTTAACTTCAACCAGCTGCCAAAGAGTAAACCCAGTTTTGAGTCATGTAACTTTCACTTATTAGTCTTGCCAGGAAGTAAAAACGTGCTATGATTTACAGATGGTCTTATTACTGTGTCCCACCTGCTAGAGTCTGTAGAGCCTGAGTCATCTCGGTATAACACTAGATAACAAACTTTGACCAGCACACACAGGACATTTAAAAAAAGAGCCACCAAAGACTGCCAGTCATCCACAAAGTCTCTATGTTGCCTCACACCTCCTCCTCCTGTTGTATCAAAGCATCATTCAGCCCATCCTCATATATTGTACAGCTGTTTTTAACATGCTCACAGTCACAAACCGGGTCAAACTTACACACATTACCATGACCGCTGCAAAAATAATTGGTCTCCCCACACTCGACTTGACAGCATTGAACAGTAAAGCAATCACACACATTGCAACCACAATCGAATATGATGCCCTCTGGGGCGAAGGTACAGAGAACTGAGGTGCAGGAAGGCTCGCATATAATAGGGAAAAGCCTGATCTCTGTATCTATAAGTGCCCTTAACAGGAGGCCTTGCTGAATCAGCCGCATGTTTTTGTGTTATTTTTGGTGTATTGCGTACTGTGTTATGCATACTGTTGTTTTTCTCTTTCCTTTAACTATTTGTTGATTGCTGTCAAACCTGTACAGTGCTGTGAATACGAATTTCCCATTTGGGACAATAAAGTCTAGAGTCTGTGTTTGAGGTTGGGTCAAACAGCTGGGTCAACATTTCCAAATATTCGTCTTTTTGTGTGTTTAGGAGTGCAGGTCAAGGTCTGACTTTGTACCTTGCAGCACATTTAGAGTATTATACAACCTGGAGAGGACTGAGCATGCCAAACTTCACTGTAAGGAGCTTTATTTACTCGGGGATATGTCAACTTTGTGAAATGGAAGTTAATGATTAATTGGCTCACAGGAGAGAAGCATCATTTGTTACAAATGTTACGTTTTGTTTTTGTATATGAATCTCCTTTTTTTACACACACAAACCACCCATATTAACTGGATATGTGTTGGTCACTGTGAGCTTGCTGTTGTTGTATTGAACAAATCAACATTGTCTCTCTATTAGTATCATTGCTATGAGTGCATCGAGATATAGATTGGATCAAAAGAGGATATCAGTTAA